TGCCTTATTCTTCCACATGCTAATACGTATTTTCAGTTTTTCAGAAATTTGTTGAAATCTTGCCTATGCTGATTGCTCCCCTTAACTGAGTTTATTCTCCTTTTTATTCTTTTATTTTCTTTTTAAGGTGCTCTTGGGATGGACAGGACACTGTGTGCTCAGACTGTCTTCTTAACCTGGGAGGTCATAAGTAGTTTGCCTATCCCCTAATCTGAAATCCTTCTCTGATTACAGAGTCCTCTCAACCGAGGGCCCATAATATCTTTGTGATCTATTAACCATTATTCGGGCTCATAAGACATCCTATCCTTTCTGGGGATAATTTAGGATAGATTATGTCTGAGCTCTGGTATCAGACTGGACTTACCCACATAAGCATTGGGAGAAGCTTTTGGGTCTACTTCCCTAAATGGGCTGGGGAACAAATTAAAACATTTAAATAGAAGCCCCTTAATTGGATAATGTAAGAAATTAAAAGAGAGTGAGCCCAGGAAAGGATCTATTTGCAGTTGGTACTTTGTGCCCAGCATAATGTCAGGGTCTACGATAGTACGTACTTGCAATGGTTGAATTCCATCTCAGATATGTGCTAGAAGACAGGATTTACTCCGCTGCAGCCCCATTGTTATTGCCAGGGTTTTATTATTTTATGGTCACTTTTTCCTGATTATGACTAAAAAAGTAGGGAATGTGTTTCTTTTTGTCTTATGTACTTTGGACTTTACAATTAAGTAAACATACAGCCATCTCCAAACTACCATATTTTGTGCTTAGCTTAGCTGACTCTTTTTTTAATTTAAATTTTGAAAATTTATATCTCTTGATTTTTTCTTTTGTGACTTCCATTATTTTTAGGCCGTTTTAAAATGAGGCAAATATTAACCAGTGTTTTTAATGTATAAAAAAAATAAGGTATTCACTTTTTACATTTACCTCTCAATCTCATATAGAGTTTATGTTGGTATATGGTATGAGACAAAGATCTATCCTTTATATATATCTTTTTAAAGTATTTAATCAGCTGCACAGGCACCTTTATTGAATAAAATAGCCTCTCCCACTGGTGTGATATGTTCCTTATATTAAGTAGACTCTTACATATTTAAAGAGTATCCTGCTGTTTCTCTTAGGCATCGGCTTCGAATGTCAGGGAATCCAAAGCATCTGAAAGAACGGTTATAGTTGCTGGTCTTCCAGTTGGCCTTTATAATGATCGGTTACTGTCCACATTAATGAAGAGTTACTTCCAAGATACTAAGAACAAGGGCGGCGTTGTTGAAGATGTGATATATCCGACAAGAACCAAGGGAGTTGCGTATGTTATATTCAAAGAAAAAAAAGGTATTTCCAAATCAAATTTTCATACTCTTAGAAATACTTCTGTAATGAAATTAGAAATTGAATTTCATTAAAGTGATTCATGGTATTAGTAAAGTTTAAAGTAGCTTTTCTTAAAAAATATTTTATTCTGAATATAAAAGTTGCATAATATTGTACTAGAAAGACTATATGTAAAAATAACTCAGGATAAAGTTGCTAGTAACTGGCAAATTCTTGAAGACTTCTTTCTATATTTTGCTTCCTCTGTACTGGGATAAAAGTAATACATTTATTGTAGAAAACTTGTAACATACAGAAAAAATTTTAAAAAATCCACAAAAATAATATCTAATCTCACTAACAAGGTAACTACTCTGTGAATTTTGAGGTGGCTTCCGCAATATAATTATACCACTCACTTCTCTCTATTCAAATCAACAAATAGATATTCTAATATATCTGTTTTATTACCAGTAAAGTTGATTAGGTATTTACGGCTTGGATCGGAGATCAGGTTTGAGCCATTCGGTTTTCCACCCCATCCCTGACATAGGTGAGGAACTTGGGTCTGTAGAACATAGTCATTCCTCTTGCCTCGCGGAGGCGGGCAGCCTTCCATAATGCTCAGTGGCTGGCAGAATACATTGCCAGAGGAAGATGAGTCTCCATATCAGCCTCTTGGATGTAAAATGCCACATGGGAGTGAAAGGAGAAGAGAACTTGCTCTGCTTGAGGGAAGATGGGATCCAGAGAGAGATCCAGGAGACAAAGAATTATCAGCGCCTTTACTGGTCATCATTAGTTAAGTCATTCCTTCACAGTGGAGATGTTCAAGTAGGCGATGGTGAGAAGAGTTTCTTATTATCTCTCTGAGGGGATTGTAGTGTTTTTAGAAGTTAATATGTTGAGTTGGTAACTCAGAGAGAGAAAGAGAGGGCTCATTTATTTATTCACAAGTATTTATTGAGTGCCTATTCTTTGCCAGGCACCATTGTAGGCTTTGAGGATACAGCAATGAATGAAATAGGCAAAATGCTTTTCATGAAGCATACATCTGTGGGGGTGGACAGATAATAACAAGCGAATACGTGACTATAAAATATGTTGGGTGCTTTATTTGTACATTTATATTATTTATATATTTATGTTTATGTTTATTCAAATTTTTTTTTACAAGCAACAATGCACTCTTTAAATTTATTGGGTAACATTTGTTAATATTATATAAATTTCAGGTGTGTACAACTTTATAATACAACATCTATATACTCTATTGTGTGCATACCACTGAAGTGAAGTCTCCTATCATCTCGTATTTGCCCTCCTGTACCCTCTTCTCTGGTAACCACCATTCTGTTGTCTTTATCTATGAGTTTGCTTTGTTTGATTTTTGTTTGTTTGTTGCTTTTTGTTTTATATGCCACATGAGCGAAATCATATAGTTCTTGTCCTTTTCCGTCTGACTTATTTCACTTATCCTAATACTCTGAAGATCCATCCATGTTGCTCAGCATCTCTAGCTATAAGGGAAATGCATATCAAAACTACAATGAGATACCACCTTACGCTCTTTAAAATGGCTATTACCAACAATACAAGAAATAACTAGTGTTGGAGCAGATGTAGAGAAAAGAGAACACTTGTACACTTTTGGTGGGAATGTAAATTGGTGCAGCCATTATGGAAAACGGTATGGAGGTTCCTCAAAAAGTTAAGAATAGAGCTGATGCTAGAGAACTCAGCGGGGTGGGGGCTCTGGTGACCAGGTTCTTGTCTTATGGTGCAAGAAGGAATTCAAGGATATGACAAATGGCAGGCAGGAAAGTGCAGGTTTTATTAAAGCAAAAGTACACACTTAAGAGAAAAGTGTGGGCCAATTCAGAGAATGAGTTGCACTGAACTGTCTGGATTACAGGGTTTCGTTTTTTTGGAGGGGTGGGAGGTTGAGACGTGGTACTTGCAATGCAGGTAATACTATAACGATATTATGATTAGCCAAAGCTGAACAAAGGACGACGGGAAGACTCCGTAGGGGAGGAGATGTCCCAGGCTATCCATCTTGCTCCTCCATCTTAGCTTGTTTCTCATGCCACCAGTTTGGGAGGGGGCAGCCCAACTTCACTATCCTGTCTCCTGTCCTTGGTCTGTTTCTCATGGAGTCAAAACAGGGAGGGAGCTGAGTAAGGGACTAAGGAAGAATTCCAGAGCCACATCCTGGAGGGGAGCGGAAATGTCCCTAGGCTAAGTATCCTGTCTTAGAGCTACCACATGACTCAGCAATCCTTCTTCTGGGTATCTATCTGAAAAATTAGAAAATGTGTAATTGTAAAGATATATGTACTCTTATGTTCATTGCAATATTATTTACAGTAGCTAAAACATGAAATCACCCAAGTGTCCTTGGATGGATGATTGGACAAAGAAGATGTGGTACGCATATATAGTGGAATACTACTCAGCCATGAAAAAAGATGAAATATTGCCATTTGTTTACATATATTAATACGTAGTGTGAGTGCCATGGAAAAAATAAAGGGATAGAACATGATGGAGGATGTTACTTTAGATAGAGTGAGTAGGGAAATACTTTGTTTAGATGTCATTTGAGACCTGAATGAAGTAAGAGAATGACTCATGCAGATAAGGGGGTAAAGCATTCTTGGACAAAAGAAGGACTGGGAAAAATTTTCTGAGGGGGTAACCTGCCTGCTTCTTGCAGAACAACAAGGAGGCCCATGTGGCTGGAGTGGAATGAGTGAGAGGGAGAGTAATAGGAGATGTGGTTAGATCTCCTATTACTAATAGGTAGCCGGGGCCCAGTTTATGTTAAGTAGCTTAAGGTCAAGGTAAGGTATATGGATTTTTTTCTGGGTGAGAGAAAAAGGCCTTGGAGTGCTTTGAGCAGACAGACAAAATGTGACTGTCTTTTCTTGGATGGTCAATCTGTCAGCCATGTGGAAAATAGGGAGCTACTAGTCATCACTGGGATTGACTAGGGTGGGAGCAGGGCAGGCGATTAAGACATGGTGAGTATTCAGGATTTGCTGAAGAATTAGGTGTTATTTTCTGAGATGTGGAACACTGAAGGAAGAGAACTTTTAGGTGGGGGATAGTTATCAAAAATTGAATTTCAGTCATTGAGATGCCTATTAGGGTAATGAAGTAGAGGTTTCTACAGATGGAAGGGAGAAAGGTTGAGGCTGAAGATAGAATCTTGAAAGTGATATGTGTAGAGATGATATCTAAAGCTGTGGATCACCCGAGGGGTGGATGTAGGTAAGCAAATAGATATGAGACCTGAGGTTTGTGGCACGCCAACATCTAGAGAATGGAAAGAGAAGAATTAGCAAAGGAGACCGAGCAGGTCAGCCAGTGAATTAGAAGAAAACCAGGACAGTGTGGTATCCTGGATTCAAGAAGGTAAAGTCTCCTCATGGCAATAATGGGGGATTGACTTTTAGGTGTTTATATATACACGTACATATACACACTCACTTTTGTGTGTTTTTAAAAGCATGATTAGGATATTTACACATTAAACACAGTTTAATGTATGAAAGTAGAAGGGAAACTATTTAAAAGTTGAATTTAGAGGAAAAATGTAGAAAAAATCTTAAGTATTTTATGTAATAGAGTTGAACATCTCTATTATAATCAATGTATCAATGTATCATGCCACAAACATTTCTGATGGTAATGTTTTCACTTAGTTGCAGAGAATGTCATCAGAAAAAAGGAACACTGTCTGACAAGGAAGGTTGGACTCATGCATCTCACAGTCTCTCATTTTAATGAAAAGGTAAGGTGTGATGCTGAAGGCCTACTGGTAGTCCTGGATCCCATTTCTTCTGCTAAGTGTTCTTTACATGAGAGACACAAAGCACTCCTACCCCATGATTTCTAGGAAAGAAAACACAAACTCCTTAACCTGAGTCAGTGTTAATGGCCAAACCTGTGTCTTGACATTTTTTGGTTACTGCCTGCTGTTTTTATGTTTCTGTATGTCCCATGTGATGCTTTTAAAGTGAGCCTTTTTGCTCTCATGGATGATGTCAGGTTCTACTTAAAGACATATTTTGGAGAAAACAAAAACTCAATTAAGATAAATAGTAAAAAGAAGCTTTGAAGATTCAGAAAAGGTGAAAATAAAAGGAAAAAGTTAAAAGTCAAAGCATTAATTTAAAACTTTATTTGGTAAGAAACCCCGGGCTTCTGTGCAGCCATCTGATGAACTTCGAACTTGGAGAGTTCTCTAGGGCAGCCCCTAGCCACGAGCAGACCCAGAACAGTGACTGTCTGTGGGTGCTGCTTAAGACTTTGTTTCAAACAAGCATTCTGCCTTTAAAAAATATTTGACCACCTCTGTTTTGGGGGAATGCAGGGAGGGACTATGAATCCCACATTGAACATTGTGGCCCGGATGGGGTTGTGGGATCCCTTTGATGGACTGCTGTGGTGCAAGAAGTGGATCTGTGTCAGGCAGTTGGGGCCTGGTTTAGCTGACTGCTGTAGAAACAGTGGCAGAAAAAGAATGTGTTTATGTAGTCTGCTCCACTAGGCGGTGATGTTTTAATGTCTCCTTTAATTTCAGGTCTTCAGTTCTGTAAGAGCTATCCTTGATCTCTCTATTTTTGGGAGTCAAGTCATTCTAGAAAGTCTGGTCATGGACCTGAAAAAGAAGATTCCAACTTTATGCTTCAGTCCTCTGGAATACAATGGAAGAATCTCTGTACAAGGATCGTTTCTGGCTATCAAAAGGCTCAAAGAATTTTTGCTATTAAAAACAAGTTCTCTGTTAGAAAAAAACAAGAGTTTTATCAGTGACGGGGAAAAGCGGAGTAGACAGAGCCCCAGAAGGAGTCTACGGAGAAGTAGTAACTCTGTGGAGCCACTCAGGCCCTCAGTACCGGAGACCGCTAGAAATGGAGAAACGCTTGTTCTCGACACAGATATTTTTCTTTACCTGAAAAAGAAGAGCAGAGTTTATGAAAGCACTTTGAAAAAATTTCATGTTCTATGTCAGGAGAGGGTGGATGGCGAAATTACCACAATTTGCATAAAAAATGCTCAAGATGGTTCTCGGCCAAATAATGAAAAACTTGTAAAAGAGTACATTGAGAAATATTCACATGCTCTTCACTCTGAGCTTAGAAAAGAGACATTTGTTTTGGAAGGAAAGAAAAATAGAGCGAAAAATATTAAGTTGGCATGTGAACAACTAAGTTCGAGGTACCTTCAGGTTCTGATTAATTTTTATAAGACACACATTGATATTATAGGATCTTCTTCTGATACTTACTTGTTTAAAAAAGAGGTCATGGAATTAATGAGGCAAAAAGTTAGGTAATAGAATCTCAGCAATAGTGATGATAATAGCTGCTGCTTTCCCTTACTAAGCACTGACGATGCCATGCATGACACTAGCGTTACACACTTTATCTCACTTAATCCTTGCAACCATCCTTCATCATAGGCATTACTATCCTCATAGGAGAAGAAACTAGGATTTGGAGAGGTTAAAATACTTGTCTGAGGTTATCCAGATGGCAAGGAATGGGGCCGAGGTTAAACACTACAAAGATAATATCTAAGGTATAGAAGTTTGAAAAAAAAAAATCTCACTACACTTTAAAGAAATCTCACTTTCTCTGCAACCCCGAAGTCTTAGAAAAAGAGGTAGCCTTAATTCTAACATATGAGACGTTCAGATGAGGATGATTATGCTATTGGCAATTTAGTATTTACAAAGTTTGTGTTTACTCCAAATAGAATAAGAATGCTGGCAAAAGTCACTTGAGAAGCTACTTAGATAGAAAGTATTTCTGATGCAGGTAAATCATTACTTAACTAAATCTCATTGGTACAAGGCTGTTGGACATATGGGACATTTTTATTGCTGGTTATTTAGCCTGAGTGCTTAAATAAAATGTTGGTTCTCCTGTTATAATTATGAAGAAAATTTAGTGTCTGTTTTTCTTTATTTCCCCTTTTATTTTGTAATTTGTTAAAGTAACAGCATTTGAGAGGTACGATCTTGGATGGTAAGAATAATAACATGCTATTTGCCAGACAAAATTTTAAGCACTTTATATAGCTATTAATTCAGTTCTGACAGCACCCCTATGAGGTAGGTGCTGTCTTTATCCCCTTTTTATGGATGAGGAAACCGATGTAATGTATCCTTGCCTGTGCTCTTAATTACTGTGCTTCTCTCTTTTATAGAATTAGTCTCCCACCATTGTACTTAAACAATTGTCAAGTCTTTCCTTAAAGATGAGAGAAGAATTTGAAATTTTTTTTACTGAAAAAGAGAAGCCAGAGCTTCTAAGTCATTTAGTTGTCTTATGACTCCACCGAATATAATCGGATTAAACCACTTTTAAGTATCGGGACATGGCAGAGATCCTCCTAGGATAAAATGTGTACATCTTGTGTATTTCTAAGTAAACAAACATGCTTATGATGATTAGAATTGTTTCAGTAGAAAAGCATAAGAAAAAAAATCTCACTATGTTTTTATTTTTTTCCAGCCATCTAAATCCCAAATATATTAAATAAGTTCTATTTCTTTAAATACATTTCATTTCTGTATGAGTAAACATCACAGGGAACTGTGCTGTTTATATCAAGCACCCAATAAGGTGTCTGTAAGTTAAAAGGGTTTCATTTTTATTTTGCTTCAAGGAGTTGGTCTCAGTCTGGGTCCTATCAGGAGAGAGAAAGCCCACAGTAATTTGAACAAGGAAAGTGTAATATAAAGAATTGTTGACTATAACGGAATTGGAATAACAAGGGACTTAGTAGCAAGAAGTAAAGAGACATCTAAAAAATACAGGAATAACAGATAAAAGGAGCAGTTTATATTGGAGCACCCCAGGATCCAACTTCCCCCAGGACTGAGAGCCAGTCCTTGCTGGAGGATTTGTGTCAAGGGATCTTGCTGGAAATCCATCCTCTAGGGTACTGGAAGGATATCTTTACAAGAGTGTCTCACCGGGGACACTCCATTACAAAATGCCCGAGGGGGATGGTTGCTGCGGGGACGCGGGGAAGAGCTAGTGGCTGGACAGGTGTGTGCGGGACGGGGAGGAGGGGATGGGGAGGGACGGGAGAGGAGGGAACGGGGGGTAGAGCGGGGGGAGGAGCTAGTGGCTAGATGGCTGCTGCTGGCCTTGTGTGCCGGGGGCTGGACACTGGAGAGGCTGCCCATGGTGCATGAGCCTGATGCTGGAGAAGCTGCCCATGCTGCAGAAGCCGGTTTCAGGAGCGGGGGGCGGGGGAAAAGAGGGTAACTTTCGCGGCTGAGGAGCTGGATTCTCGGTAGCCTGCCTATTGAACACACTGAAGCAGGCACAAGGCTCTTTTCTCCTACGATGTCTCCAGCGCCCTCTACTGAGAAAGCTTAGTATCGTGTCAGCTACGATAGAAAAATATGTAAAGGGCCCAGAACTATTTTTACAGAGTAGGTACATAAGATGAATTTAAAGCCGAGTCAATAAATTGATAACTGGCAGAGTGATATCTGATAACTACCAAGGCTTTACCGCAAATTTAATATTAATAAAATAGTCTTTTAACAAAGAGCTGGATCAGAATAGAATAGTGAGTCTTGTTCCATGATCTGATAGAAATTGAATCCTAATTGATTTAAAGGTATGGGTATAGCATCTTCTGCTGGAGAAGATTGTGTATTTCAGGTGTTTTTGCATATTGCTGTCCATTTCAGAGTTTGTTTAACAACGCTCTTCTTATAATGTGCTAGTTGTGTAACGAACTGTAAAAAACTGACTTTTTTGTGTAAAAAACTGACTTTTTTTTTCCAGTGGTAGTAATGATTTTTATTAAAATTTACTTTTGAAGGTTACCAATGCCCAGGCAGATGATGTGAGTTTCATCTTGTGGTCAGGCCTAAACTCTGTTGTATGTCCGCCATCGAGAGAAAAACCTATCATTTAATTGGATAAGTCAGTACTTTTCAAAGAGGCTGCAAGTAGCGAAGAGAGCCATCATTAACTGAAAAAGGAAGATGTAGGAGTTTGAGATCATGATGGACAAAAGTAGAAGAATGGGAGAAAGGGCCCTGAGGCATTTGGGTAAGAAACTCATTCAGGAATTTCTGTTGAGCTCATCCTCTGAGACAACTATTTTGCTGGGTTCTGGAGACAGCAATGGGACATAAGACAAAATGTCCACTGACCCCTTAGATGTCACTGCCTATTCTGGCAGAGAAGGCATGCAAACAAGCCATTACAATGGTGCTTGCTATAGAAGTACTTGGCACAGGGCTGTGGAATCGATCCTTACCTAGGATATGTTAGTCATTTACAGATTATTGGCATAACTCTCATAAAGATAGTGACCATGTGTTTAAGTTTTATTTACCTTATTGAGGAGTGAACTAGCCATTATTTAGGAATAAACCAGAATGCCAAAACTGGTTCAAAAAGAGCATAAGAAATGGAATTAAAAAGTTACTAGGGAAAAGCATATTAATAAAGATTGCTAAACTAGGGACAAAACTGATCAATGTCCTATGCTGTAAAACTATGATTTTGTTGCTAGATAGAAAAGAAAGTAATCACACTTCATCAGTCTTTTTTAGAATTTAAATTTCTGACTTTACAGAGTTGTAAAATGTCAGTGCCCTAATCAATTCTGATATTAAATGAAATCAAATTATAGTTCCCAAAAGAGATGACCCACAAGTGGGCTTATTAGAATGTGTCTAGTGTGACGTTATAGGGTCGCATAATTATTTTTTGCTTTATTTCTGTGTTTCGAGTAATTTTCTTTAACAAGAGTCAGAAGAAGCTTTCCAGAGGATGAGAACCGATGAATGAATGTTTGCTTAATGAAGGGATGAGGAAGGAGGGCAAAACAGCATCTGGTTTGGTAGCAGAACGCCAAGTTTAAAGATTGCTAAATTTTGACAGCTTAGTTCTTAAAACTTTTATTTGATGGACAAAATTTCTCTATTCTTCAGTAGGAGACTCACACATACCAAGGTGTAGAGGGAAGGAAACGTTTAATTTGCTTTGTGAATTTCTCCTTGCAAACCATGTTAATGATAATGTATGGACTTTCCAGAAGATAGTAATTTAAGGAATTTCACTCTCCCGCCTGGATTTCATTACTGTTGGGCCATGTACTGGTATAAATATTGGCAGAGGAAAATAATAGCCCTTTCACTTGAGTGGACTGTCTTGCATATTCTTCGCTCACCCTGTCTCTCTCATCTTTCACCTCTTCCAAACTTTCACCTCTTCCGTTCCCCTTTGGCCTCAGTGTTCTCAGCAATAACCTGAAAATAGTACCTATGTCACAGGGTTATTGTGACTTTCAGAAATCATGTTAAGGAATAGTTGTTCAAACATATTACCTACTATTTGAAGAACTTGATGACATCGACACCCCAAGAAGTCTCCCTCTGCTTGGAATGCCTCATTTCCGAGCTGGCACCAACGTGGTACTCAAGCTGTTGCTCTGGACCTCTTCTTCTTCTTTTTTCTATTTGTATGGCTACTACCTTAGATTGGGCCTCTGTCATTTCTGACCTGATTTAGTGGGTTGAATAGTTGCCCCTCCCGAATTCACATTCTCCACTACTGTAATTAGCTCATACCTGAGTTGTTGCAATGTTCTTCTAACTGACATCCCCGGCTCGGCTCTACCCACCCCCATGTTCTCAGTTCACCCCATATGCCACTACCGGATTAATGTGTCTAAAGTGATTAGTGGTATCTGGGAGGCTTAGACTGTCTGGCTGGTGTTAATTGACCTACCCTGTAATTTCACTGCAACATTTAATCTTCTCTTTCTTATCCACTTACAGCATGCATTATCTGATACATACAGACTACTCATACTCATAAAAGTATTTTGTCATATATTAACTAATATTGTTTTTTTAATGTCTAATTCTCAGATCTGAATAAGTTTCTTTTTTTCTTTTTCTTTTTTCCCTAAAGCTAGTAAGCATTACTCTTAGGCAGCACTGCACTGTGTCAGATGAACACTGCCTGTATGGCAGGCATATAGAGATTGAGAGCATGGGTGTTTAGTTTGATGGATCTAAAGTTGAATTTTAGCAACACTGCTCACTAGTTTGTGACTTTGTTCTTTTAGTGTCCACATCTTTAAAATGAGAGTAATACTTATGGCCTCATAAGATTTTGTGATAATAAGATGAAGTCCTGAGCCTGGGGCTTGGCTCCTTGTAGCAAATGGAAGCCATTCTAATCATTCCTGTTGATTGCAGAAGACTTGGATGTGCCACAGTTCAGAGTAAATATAAGATGATTTGAAAGCATTCCTTATATTTGCATTTGCTTCAGGAAGGTAGTAAGGAAGACACAACTTGATGTTACTAAATATCTCCTATAAAAGAGAAAGCCTTCCCAAGTGGTCTCCCAGTCAGTACAGAGGTACCACTGAAGCAGTGTTCATAGGTTCACAGCATTATTTTGGGAGGAAGTATCAGAATTACATCTTGATGTTTTTCCTGCCTGGGGAAAAAGGGAGTGGTTTAGGTCCAGACTGACAGCAATAGATGACTCCACCTCTTAATTCCATAAGAGAGCTAGCTCTGGCTTTACTATGTTAGGTAACACTTCACTCAATGTAACTTTCTGCCTCCAGGATGCCTTGGAGCAGTTTAGATTAGATTCTCACAGTTTTCAAATCCCTCCTCCCCCCACTTTTTTTTTTGCAGGATTCTGGACTCAGGGGATTTTACTCTGCAGTTAGCATTATGTCAAACCATGCCACACAGTCAGAAAATTGCTTTGAACCCTTTAATTGGGTCCATTCTGTTTTATCGTATTGGGATATAAAATAAGATTATGTTCTTTTTAAATATCAATCTTTATTTTTTTCTATTGTGAGAAGGCCTTTTTTTTAAGCCTGAAGGAAAGAAATCTGGTAAGTCTGCCCAGTTTGCCAAGGGAATCCATCTTGGGT